GAAGTCCTGTCTGTGTATTTAATCTTATTTAATCTTCCCTACGGGCACCCAGGAACGTGCACACCTCAGGCTGTGCACTGCAGATTCAGGATGGGTGAAGTTTAAGCTCTTCTCCTCTTAAGGAGAAGAAGGCCTCCGGGGAAAGGAAGATGGGCAAGGAGAAGCCTTACCTTCTGGAAATGAGGAGCCCAGGCTGTTAACTGAGGTGCTGTTGCTGGCCTTGGGGCGCAGCGGGAATGCTTCCGGATGCCTACGAGTGACCCTGTTGAGGGGCTCTCGCTCCTTTGAGCTGAGGACGGTAGACCTGCCTCTGTCCAGGAAGGGTGGTGGTGGGGGGCAGCGGGGGAGGCATATAGGTGGACATCTAGAAGCATCTAGAAGCACATCCAAAGGCTGTGCGGAAGCTTCAACAATCAATCTGGGAGGTTCTGCTTTTCTTTTTTTTTTTTTTTTAATTTTTTTTTTTAATGTTTTATTTATCTCTAGGAGAGAGAGAGAGACAGCATGAGCAGGGGAGGGTCAGAGAGAGAGGGAGTCACAGACTGGAACAGGCTCCAGGCTCTGAGCTGGCAGTCAGCACAGAGCCCGACGCGGGGCTCGAACCCACGAACCGCGAGATCATGACCTAAGCGAAAGTCGGACGCTCAACCGACTAAGCCACCCAGGCGCCCCAAGAGATTCTGCTTTTCTGAGAGTGGCTGTCCCCTCTGCTGCGCTTCTGGGAGGTCTGAGCCCAAGAGGGACCCGGGGGGTGGCAGGCCACTTTGTTTACTTAGTGTGTCTCGTGCTGGTGCCTCTTTCTGAACTCCTTCCCCTGAAGGTCGCTCATCACCTTGCCTTCCTTTCTCCTCTCCCTCCTGACTCTGTCACTAGACTAGACTCTCCTCTGGGGCGCCAGGGGGCTCAGTTGGTTAAGCTTCCGACTCTTGATTTCGACTCAGGTCAGGGTCCCACATTCGTGAGATCAGGCCCCGCATCGGGCTCTGTGCTGCCAGCTCAGAGCCTGGAACCTGCCTCTGATTCTGTGTCTCCCTCTCTCTCGGCCCCTCCCCCACTCATGCTCTGTCCCCGTCTCTTTCTCTCTCTCTCCAAATAAATAAATATGAAAAGAAAAGAAAAGAAAAGAAAAGAAAAGAAAAGAAAAGAGAAAAGAAAAGAAAAGAAAAGAGAAAAGAAAAGAAAAGAAAAGCAGAGCATGTGGGCTTGGGAGACCCGGCAGAACTTTGCACCAAGAGACAAGCAGACACTAGCAGGGTTTCCAAGAACATGAGGCCATTTCCTTAGGGTGACCCCAGTGCCCTCCCCATTTTAAAAAATCTATTTCTGAGAGAGAGAGAGAGACAGCGTGAGCAGGGGAGGGTCAGAGAGAGAGGGAGACACAGAATCTGAAGCAGGCTCCAGGCTCTGAGCTAGCTGTCAGCACAGAGCCCAATGAGGGGCTCGAACCCACAAACTGTGAGATCATGACCTGAGCCGAAGTCGGATGCTCAACCGACTGAGCCACCCAGGCACCCCCCCACCCCATGCCCTTTAAATGCCTCCTGAAAAGGCTCAGAGCTGCCAGGAGAACTTACCGTGTGTTCCAGCAATATCTGATGAGAGGCCCCTGACCTCCATTTCTTAGTGCATTCACTACAAAGAAAAGGCTTACAATTATGAACCTTCCTCTGCCTGTGAGATGTATATGCGTCTCCCACAACTTAGACGTGTCTCTCTCAAGGACCTCGAAACCATTTCTCTGAACATGACCATCAGGCAGAACAACACCTGTCTCCCAGTCCCTGGGAGAGGGCAGGATTCTGGCTTCCATAACTGCCAGCTAGTAGACACGGCCGGCCTAACCACATGGACGTGACCCATCCCTTCCCATTCGTACTTCTCCGACTCTCCTGAGCTCGTCTCTGCAAATCGCGATGGGGCTGGATGAAATCTGTCTTCACTGCTTTCACTGACGTGTGGGGCTTTGACCCTCGGGAAAGTTTCTGCGTGTCTCTGAATGAAATAGCGCACGTTTTCGTCTTCTCTTCCCCAACCACTTATGTGGTTCAGAGTCATCGATATCCCAAAGAAATCTGCTCTTTTGGTTGCTGTTTTGGATCTTTGTTCCCCTGGCTGTGAAGGACTGAAGTGTGCTTGCGACCATGTCGGGCAGTTCTGGGCCCTGCCACTTGCCAGCTGTGCGAGCTCTTTCCGTTGCCCATCCTCAGTCTTCTCTTCTGCAAAATGGGAATACAACAGGATTATAGATAGGGTTGTTGGGCAGCTTAAGAAAAATACAGTGCCCGTAAAGCCCTGCCCAATGCAGACACTTGGAACACGGTCATTCTCGAAGTCTCTGCGATCCTCTTCTGCCTTTGGTTTCTCCTCCGCTGGTCTCACCAGCACGATGATGTGGCCAGGGGTGGCCCCCCGGGCTCCCACCAGCTATGCTGTGTCCACTGACCCTCAGGGATCGTTCTCATGGCTCTGTCGCATCACTGTGGGTTTTCAGAGTCTCCACTTCCTTTTCCAGAGCCCTTTCCCTATCAGTGCACAAGTGAGGTCATCTTATTTCATAAAAGCAGAGCTTAGTGCTACTCAGAGTCAAAAGAGCTGTTCAGCAGATAAATCATGAAGACGTTCCTGAGCTTGGAGGCAAGCTGAGGGCCTGGAGCACAGAGGACAATCTGAGTGAGCTCTCTGCCCTCAAGCCACAGGGGTGGTTTCTCCAGTTTTGCACTTGCTTCAAGGCCAGCCTTGACCGAGAACATCGGCCTTGACCTAGAACCTTAGACATTGCCATTCTGTCTTTCCACGGCCACCGCTTGGGGCTTTATTCTGCTGTCAATACCTGCAAGGCTCATTTCTTGATTGGCCGGCCATCTTGGAATTCCCCCTTCCCGGCCGACATTTGTCCCCTCTGTGGCTTCATTACAGAAGACAAATGCCAGATGGGGCTTTCCTCTGATGCAGGTTCTGGGTGTGTGTTTCCGGGGTCAGACCCCTGATATTCAGCGTGACCCCTTTTCTCTTCTGTTGCAGATCTCCGATGTGGTCAAGACCATACCAGTGGCTCTCCCGGCTGCCATGGTCTTCACGAGGATTCTGCGGGCCGGAAGCAAGCGGAAAAAGCAATAAACTGAATGGAACTGTCCTGATGGCGTCCAGTGACACGTTGCTTGACCGGCAGACATGGAGCTTGGTTTCTTGATTTTATTCTGTTTTGCGACCATTTAGGCTTGTTGAAGCAAAGCTAAATAAAAGCACAGGAAGACTTTATTTGGGGAAATGTAGCCTCGTTTAACTTCTTTGAAAGATAGTTGGCTCTGTTGTGGATTGCATGGCTGTGTTCCCCTACAATTCATGTTGAAGGCCTGACCCCCAATGTGCTGTATTTGGAGGTGGGCCTTGGGGAAGTGATCAGGATTAGATGCAGTCATGGGGGTGGGGTCCCCCATTAATGGATTTAGCATCCTTCTAAGAAGAGAGAACTTCTCAGAGTTCTTTTCACTCTTCCAATGTGAGGACACGGCAGGAAGGCGGCCGTTGGCAAACCAAGGAGGTTTTGAGCAAGGTTTCAGACCAGCCAGCTCCTCTCTCTTGAATTGTTCAGCATCCGGAACCATGAGATGTAAATGTTCGTGTTGAAGTCTGCTGGTCTGTGGTAGGTCGTTCAGGAGGCTGAGCAGCCCGAGACAGACTCTGGCTACACTGCGTTGCATCCTGGCCGTTCACAGCTCTTGGAGGCCTGTGTTCTTTTTTATGGTGTGGGCACATACGAGGGGAAGGGGAGACCACTGCCTGGGGCCCCAGCAGCCGGAACTGTGTCCAAGACTCTCGGCCATGAATGTGTCGTCAGCGAGGGAAGGCTCCCCGATAATGTTACTCCTGGCTCCTCTCCCTTCCGGGAACGATTAATACCACTCTCTGCGCTCTCCACATCCTTCCCTCTGCCTTGTGGCTTCCACACCGCCAGCGCTCCTGCTTCCTCTCCACTTGGGCTTGTCGAGCAGCAACCTCCCCACCCCCAATGTCTGACCCCAAACCCCTCCTCTGACCCCACACCTGTCCTGCGGCTCCTCACCTCCCACCACCCTCGCTCCACTTCCGCCCACCTCGGCCTGCGACCCACAACCTGTTCCCAAGAGAGTGCGGTGGGCTCTGCGCCCCGCCTGGCTCAGCCTACTGATTGGCTGCCGCTGGGTCAGGTGATCTCATTAGGCCAATCAGCTCTGCCCGATGGGGCGGGGCCACCCAGCTCAAAGCTCAAACAGTAAATTGACCTGGGAGGGATTTGCCGGAGGTGGTTAGCAACAGGGGGAGGGGAAGGAGTCAGTGCCAGTCTCCGCCCCCTGCTGGGAGCCTGGGTGTTTACCCAGGGGACATTCGTTGACTGGAATTACAGGCTGGAACTCACATCTCTTATAAGATCTGATACCCAACCTTTCAGTACTATTTGAAAAATAAAATATTTGATTCCACCTCATTCATTCATTCATTCATTTAAATATTTATTTATTTAGAGAGTGGGGGAGGGCAGAGAGAGAGAGGGAGAGAGAAAATCCCAAGTATGCTCCGCACTGTCAGAGCAGAGCCCAATGCCGGGCTTGAACCCACAAACCGTGAGATCATGACCTGAGCTGAATCAAGAGTCCTCCACTTAACCGGCTGAGCTACCCAGGTGCCCCTTACTTACTATTGTGATTTTTTTCACGTCTCAGATGTCCATTTCAGCATCAGGAGCACTGAGAGAGAAGCGAAAGGGTCTGTCCCTCTAGCCCCACCTGGCCAGACCCCCTGTCTGTGCAGAGGGTATACCACGTGAAGAGGAAGGGTGGCCAGTGGTGAGGGGCCTCCTGTGGGCGCAGAACCAGTTCTGTGAGCCAGAGCCTGTCCCCCACGCTGGCAGATCAGCTGAGCTGTCGCTCTCTTGCACGGTTCTTTGGGTTTCCATTGGTAAATAATGGTAACCATGGGAACGTTTGACCGCCTTCTTGTTAGCCACTTCCCCAGGCCTCACCCCTGGGTTATGACGAAAGCAAATCTCAGACGCATCACACACCTAAGTATTTATTAAACACGCGTTCACTGAGGAGGCACAGAGCCCTTCATCCAGGCTGCTCCGGAAGCAGAATGAACACGCCACCCTGTGTCTGTCAGGTGCTGTGCCCACATTTTGCATGGAAGGCTCACTGAAGGCGGGGTCCTGCTGCCTGCATAGCCAGCATCAGGCAACCAGAAACCAGGCTCCGGGCTGTGCCAGGCTTTCACGCTGCGCTCCTGCCACGGGCAGGGCGGGGCGAAGTATTCTGGCCAGTTCCAGTGCTCAGTGCACTAGTTTGGCAAATAACTGGTCATCAGAAGTGAAGACAGTTCACACAGCCCACTCTTTCAGCCAGGATGCCAGCCTAGTGGCCCTGGGCTGCAGTTTCCTCATTAAAAACTCCTGGAGACTTCTTGCAGGGCGGGGGTGGGGAGGGGAAACTAGCCTCTATCTCTTTTGCTTTCCAGGCGGCTGGAGAATGTGCATAGGGGCTGAGCACCGCCCTTTTCTGGAAAGGTCGTAAGGAAGGAGGCCCTCTAGAGCTGCCCAGAGAGGAAGCAAACAGAGAAGGTGTAAAGATTGCAGTCTGAGGGCCAACATTTGCCCTGGGGGTCTGGCCGAGAGGAAAGGCCCGTTGGGATCTTCACAACTCTGGCCTCCTGGCTCCTCTCCCGACCAGAGTCTCCCGGAGGGCCGCCACAGAGCCTTCTGATTCCCTTGCCTTCCAGAAGCTCCTGCCCTGTAGCATGAGGCCTTCCCTGGGAAACTGGGAAGCTTGTCTTCAAGTCTCCCCCTCCCTCTTCAGCATCCCTCTTTCCCGACTCCCTACTGCCTCCCCACCCTGTCTGTTTCTTTTAAAGAACATCCCCCACCCCCCTACAACAACCCAGGCTCCAGGCTACACACCCTCACATACACTCTTACACCAAGACTTACCTTAAGTCCTGATTCTTCCAGGTCCTTCCGGAGAGCTGAAAGATGCCACAGAACTACTTTTTTACTAAGATACCAACGGCTTCAAAAGAGATTGAATGTGAATGTTGTCTGGGAGGGCAAAGGCTAAAAACTGAATTCACGGGGGGCACCTGGGTGGCTCAGTCGGTTGGGCAGCCGACTTCGGCTCAGGTCATGATCTCACAGTTTGTGGGTTCAAGCCGCACGTCAGGCTCTGTGCTGACAGCTAGCTCAGAGCCTGGAGTCTGTTTCAGATTCTGTGTCTCCCTCTCTCTCTGACCCTCCCCTGCTTACGCTGTCTCTCTCTCTTTCAGAAATAAAAAAATTAAAAACAACAACAACAACAACAACCTGAATTCACGGTGGCAAATTCCAGGTACCAGGATAGGCAGACAGAAACAGACTGGGGTTGGGGGGACTCCCCCAAACCTGCAGAGAGATGATGGGAGACAGCGTTCCCAGCCATGAGATGGGACAATGGTCTTTCTCCACAGCAGAGGCACAGCCAAGGGTCACTCAGTGCTCTTGGCACTGCCGTCACCCCAGCAAGTAGCTCCCCCAAGCACCTGTCCCCTCACCCCCAGCAGCACAGGGTCATTCCCCTGGAGGATGGCTCTCGTGTACATCCAACCAGCTGGCGACTTGACACACTTCATGTGGGCATCACACCTTACATTGAGGGCTGCACCTTTTTTTCCTATCAAAGGTTTTCTCACAATTGCAGAGAATAATAATTGTATTTTCCTATGTGGCCATGAACTTATGAAGTAAACAGCTTGTCACTGAGCACCCGCAGTACCCCAGACATTGTGATGAGTGCTGGGGTCCCACTGTAGCAAGCTCAGACAGCCCTACCCCTTGGGGGGGGGGGGTCCCTGCAGCTCAGAGAGAGGGAAGGATATTAGTAAAGGAACCACATGGATCAGTGTCCAATCCCCAAGGTGACAATCACCGTAAAGGGCAGGTACATGGACACCTGAGACTAATAACGGGGATATGACTTGGTCTTGTAGGCCAAGCACACCCTGGAAGGGCCTGGATACTTCCACTGTCCAAATACTGCAGCAATTGATCCTGACAGGAAGTGAAGTTCAGGGAGGTGAGTCTTAGACACCAAGAAGTAAGGAAGCCTCTGCCTCTCTCTCTGCCTTCCATTTGGGCCCAGACTCTGTACAGGGCAGCAGGGCCCTCTGACCAGAGTGTGGCAGGCATGGACCCTTCTGGAACCGTCACATGGAGGCAGATAGTCCAGCCTGGCAGTCTGAGCAGAGCCCCCTTTGGTAGTAGCAACTGCGAGCTACTCTTCGTTCGTGAACCTTCAACCTTCTGACAGCCTTGACTTTACGGGGCGGCGGGGGGGTGGGGGGGGGCGGTGTCTTGTGATTAGCTCCAGCCTGGTCTTGGTTGTGCTGGGGAATTAAGGAACCCATCAGCTTTCACGTGCTTGAAGGGCACAGCCCAGGGGAGGGTGACATCCTTAATCCCTTAATCCTCAAGCCAGAGGGGTAGAGGCTGCGGTGACCACCCTGGAGAGGCCCATTCAGTAGGGTTACTGGCTGGCCGAGGAAACAAGAAAACGCAAGACTCAGTGCTTCTGAGACCACACTGAGGGCTTGCCGGGAAGGAATGGAGGGGTGCTCAGAGTTGGCTAATTTTTTTTTCTTTTTTTTTTTTTAATATTTTTTATTTATTTCTAGGATAGAGAGAGACAGCGTGAACAGGGGAGGGTCAGAGAGAGAGGGAGATACAGACTCTGAAACAGGCTTCAGGCTCTGAGCTGGCTGTCAGCACAGAGCCCGACGCGGGGCTCGAACCCACAAACCGCGAGATCATGACCTAAGCAAAAGTCAGACGCTTAACCGACTAAGCCACCCAGGCGCCCCGGCTAATTTTTTTTTTTAAAGATTTTATTTTTTTAGAGCCTTCTTAGATTCACAGCAGGATTGAGAAGAAGGTACAGAGATTTCCCATACACCCCTTGCTCTCCCCATGCATAGGCTCTCCCACCAACAACATCCCTCCCCAGAGAGTCTATTTTTGTTACAGTTAACGAACATTGACACATTGCAATCCCTCAAAGTCCACACTTTACCTTTGGGTTCACTCTTGGCATTGCCCATTCTATGGGTCTGGATAAATGTGTAGCGATGTGTACCCATCATTATGGTCTCGTTCAGAGTAGTTTCACTGCTCTAAAAATTGAGGTGGCTAATTTTCATCATTCAACCCAGGGGCAGCTGGAGCCATGGCAATGTCAGCATGGAAAGTTAATATACACCCATCTGGTAGTCGCGGGTGGGTGACGAGTAGGCATTGGAGTTGGAAGAAAACTAAAAGGAAGGCTGAATGAAGGAGGTACTTGGGAAGATGTTGGGAAGCGTTTATGCACCAGATGGCGTGGCTACACTGGGATATAACTGAGTTGTTGGGGCACCCTTCACACCCCGACAGTAAAATGAATGCCGTCTCATGACAGCAACAGCGAGTCTACACGGAATGATGTAGACACCCCGTTGACTACCTGCTGGTTACCAAGTATCAGGAGTGGTCTTCTCCACATCACTTTATGTAATCCTTACCCCCATCCCAGAGAAGGAGGCACTGAGGCTCTGGGAGTCCAGGGCTTTGCTCAAGGCCACTCAGCTAGAAATTGCTGGGAGAACCCAACAGGTGTCGAATTAATGTTCCTTCCTTCCTTTCTGGTTCAGAGATCTGCAAAAATATAGTGGAAGTCCTTCCTGAAGATACATTTACTGATTCGTTGGTCTTGGCACAATTAGCTCATCCTTCAGCCAGAGAGAGAGAGAGGGAAAGAGAGACAGAACGACAGGTTGCCAGAGGTTGAGGGTCCAGTAGAGAGAGGAGCCGTGGGGAGTCTTCACCAGTCTTTGCAGCTGCAGGATTTGAGATTCCTTCTGGCTGTCAACGTCTTTGGGGTCGCGGCATCATGAACGCTAAACCAATAGCACCTAGAATCCCGAATGCCAGGGATATTCCTCCTTTCAGCATGACATTTTCTGCCTGAAAGTGAATAAGTCATATTCAGCATCTACGGCAAGTGCAGGCCAGTTCTCCCTCTCTTCCAAGGGACTGGAGGCCCCTCACCCTCCTGCCCTCTGAGCTGGCCAACCCGGGAAGATGTGGGCTGAGTCACAGGGGCCCCGAGAGACGGGCGGTTGTGAACACTTCTTCGTGGTGGGCGTGGTGGGGATTGTCCTGACACCTGGTGGGATGGGCGGATGGGATCCCTTCGTGTGAGCTTGCTGGGTGAGGACATTTGTTCCTGACTCGGGGTGGGGAGAGAGGAGGCTTTGGGCTGTTGTACGGTGGTAGGGAGCATAGACTCTAGAAGACAGCCAGGGTTCAAATACTGTCTCTGCCACTTATCCGCTCTGTGTTTTGGGACAACAAATCGGAAGACTGAAGAGGTGGGGGTGGACGCTGTGCCCCAGATCTTACACAGACAAATCCTTGAGCTATTCCATAGGCCCGTGACCTTGAGCCTATTTCCTGCCTGTGTGCTCTTTTTAGGAGATCGGTTGTGGTGCTGGGTTGGCCCAGACTCTTCCTGACAACCTGTGGGGGGCGTCAAGATCCACCTTTAGAGACAAAGGATCCTACAAGGTCAGACTGGCAAGCCTCCAGAGGTCATCCATCTAACTCCTCCTATACATGGGGAAACTGAGGACCAGAGACAGTGACCTGTCCAAAGACCCTCAGTGGACCAGAAACTGATCCAAGGTTTGAGCTCACATGGCCCGACTCCCAGCCAGTGGGTCACGGTGATTCTCTCCTCTGGCCACCCAGCTTGGTCACCCCCACCCACTAAGCAGACCTCCAGGGGGAGAGGGATCGCCCGGAAGAGGGTCTTACCTGCTTGCTGCAGGACACACCGTATCTCAGCTTGGTGACAAAATGCTCACAGTTCTTGTCCACAGGATTGTACTCCATCGTCTCACCAATCTTCTCCTTTGCAGAACGGATGATCTTCTCCACGGGCAGTGGTTTGTACTTGTGGTCTAAGTAGTTGTTGATCCTATAGGAGCATCTCCCCACCAGGTCCTGCAGGCGCTCCAGTCGCACCACGGCCTTGCTGCCCCGAATAGGGAAGATGGCGGAGGAGCTGGCCCTGCTGAGGTTATCTGGAATGGGAGACACGTCATGGGGAGCCACTGGGGAAGGCAAGGCAGGGAGAGAGAAGGGGCGGGGCGAGGAAGAAGGCCCAGGGAAGTCAGGGAAGTACACCACTGAGGTTTCGGTGTGTGTCTTTTCACAAATGTGATTGGAGGGTCACAGGTTTTGTTATCTTTTACTTAACCAGCTGTGGATATTTTTTCAAGACAGTGAATGTCATGACCACTTATGCCAATGTCATCATATCCCATTACATGAATATATAGCCTCTATCTGACCAAGCCCCTATTATTGAGCATTTAGGTGGTTCAAAACTTTGCCATCATGAACAACGATAGTCAAACACTTATTTTATTTATCTTTGTGCACTTGCAGATTTCTGAAAAAGATCAAGTTCATTTTAGTATCACACTGTGTGACTTTTCAGATATTACTTAATACTCTCCTTTTTAACTTTCAAGGTAATGAGTTCCATTTTACAACCAATATTGGTGTTGGGCAAGGTCATCCAGAGGATATGACCACCGCTGACCCATGAGCTGGACCCCCGCAATCAGAGGCTCCTCACCCCCTCCCAGTCCTTGGAACATGCATTCTGCTTGCCTTCTCTGTTCCCAGACCCATGGGACCCCCCTTGATTGCTCAAACAGGATGGGGATATTCAAGTGCTGCTGAGGAAGAAAGAACTCAGGTTCCCTTTGCTCAGCTCTTTTCTCCGGTTGTTCTCATTGTGGTTTTTTTCCCCTGAATTTTTAAAAATAATTTATTTTTGTAAGAGAGACAGAGTGTGAGTGGGGGAGGGGCAGAGAGAGGGTGACACAGAATCCGAAGCAGGCTCCAGGCTCTGAGCGGTCAGCACAGGGCCCGACGCAGGGCTCAAACCCACAAAACGTGAGATCCTGACCTGGGCTGAAGTCGTATGCTTAACCGACCGAGCCACCCTGGCTCCCCTAGTGTTCTCATTATGTTAACAAATATTTTGAAAATTATATCGAACAGTCCTTACCTGGATCAGTCAGATGGACTACATAACCATCTCCCACATAGATTGCCCAGTGTGAATAGATACCGCGGGGAATCTCAATCAGGTCTCCAGGCTTAGGTTTTCCATAAGGCTGCAACAGAAAAACCCAAGATGGGGCAGGCAGCTTTCTAGGCAACAGTAGAGAGCCCAGCTGGGATGCTGTAGCTTGGCCTGGGGACCCCCCAGCCCCTTGTTGATGCTCATCACCTGGTCAGAGTCTGGAATGGGAAAGAAGTCCTAGCCTGTATGGGGTCCTTAGCCTGTCTCGTTTAGAGGGTCCCCACAACGGGGGGCTGGAAGCTAGGAAAAAAAGACTTTGTGGACTGGGAGAGTGGAGATTTATTCAGTGTGTGTGTATTATTTTTTACGAGTGTGCACGCAGTGTATGGGGGTGCGTGAGCACACGCGTGTGCATGCACGCCATGCACGTGTGTGGTATGTTCTGTGTATATGGCGTCTCTGTGGGGGTTATATATGTTGGGTTTGTAGATTAGTGTTGGGTATGCTCATGCCCACACCGAGGACATGAACGCACAGGTGCAGGGGCATTGTGCACGTGCTCCTGAGAGTGTGGATGTGACAACCTGCATGTAAAGCTCCTTTACTGAGGTGGCTCAGTGGGCTGAGTGTTGACTCTTGATTTCAGCCCAAGTCATGACCCCAGGGTCGTGGGATCGAGCCCCATGTCAGGTTCCGTGCTGAGCACGAAGCCTGCTTGGGATTGTCTCCCTCTCTCTCTGTCCCTTCCCTGTTTGTGTCTGAGCGCACTCTCTCTCTCTCTCTCAAAATAAATAAAATAAAAGAAATATTAAAATATCATTAAAACAAACAAACAGAAAACCAAACAAAACCCCTTCACAGAGGCTGGGAGGTCCACACCCTCCCTAGCAATGTCAGGGAGGGAAGTCATGAGCTTCTCTGCCCTCAAGTCCTTGTCGCATCACCGTGGCTCTGATAATCCATGGCCACACCAGGCATCTGCTCCTCAGACTCTGTCCCCTCATTCTCAGGGCACCTACCCTTAAGGACGACAACCCGGGAGACCCGAACTGACAGCATCCTAAGGGACCGGAGCCTTCTAGGAGGCTATTGTGGGGCCACCCAGCTTCCATCACCGCGGGGGCTACAGCATATGCACACAGCAGGCACTGACTGCAACCCTCACGGTGGCCCCCAAGGAGGGAAGCATCAGCCCATTGCTCAGGTGGGAAACTGAGGAATCTGAGAGAGAGAGGGCCTTGCCCAAGAACACTCAGCTGGGAGCACCAAGCTGCCTCTTCTCCCCCTGATTTGGCCCCGCCTTCCTCCCCTTCCAGGCCTCTTTCCTGCCCCTTAACATCCCACACTCCCCCCACCCCCACCCGCACCCTGGGTGCCACAACTTCTGAGTTGAGAATTTTTCAGTTTGTCTCCCTTTCTGTGCCTTGATCTTAGCAAATGACAAGCCTCTATCTCTCATTCCAGGTCATACGATCAGAGACCCGGGGTCAATTTTCTTTCACTCTCTTTCTCTTTCTTGCCAATATTCAACATCAATGCTGACCCTGGGAGCTTCTCCTGAATTCACTTCCTCGTCCATCTCCCACCCTCTGACTTGGTTCAGGGCAGCCCTGTCCCCCTGCCTCTGAGATCCTCACAGCCTCCTTTCTTTTTTTTTTAATTTAATTTATTTATTTTAAGTAATCTCTACACACAACTTCGGGCTCAAACTTATGACCCCGAGATCGAGTCGCGTGCTCTTCTGACCAAGCCAGCCAGTGGCCCTGATCCGAAAGCCTCTAGACTGCCTCTGTCCCTGCTCCCCGACATCTAGTCCCTTCCTTCTATGCTCCTGATATCCGGAATGACATCGGCACTCTAACCCTTCATCCCAGGTTTCCCAACCTCAAAAGAGGGCCATCCTAAGTCCCCCAACCCCTCTCACACCCCTTCCCTCCACCCCCACGCCACGCCCCCAGCACCTGTGTCCAGTCCCAAGGTCCAGTCAATGCAAATTCTAGAAGTTTCTCCTGAATTCACCTCCTCGTCCAACTCCCACCCCCTGAATTAGCTCAGGGCAGCCCTGTCCCTGCCTCTGTGACCCACACAGCCTCTTGATCACCCCCTGCTTACCCCACACCCAGTCTCCCCAAGACCCAGTGAGACCTTCCCAAAGGGCACATGTGGCCTCAGGGCACAGAGCACACCCTTTGGGCAGCAGCTCCCAGGCCTTCCCCACCAGCCCCTCTTCAACCCTGTTTGCCCTCTGCTCCCCGCCCCTCAGGGTGACCGAATAGCTTGCCCTCCCTCTTGCCACAGAGCTGGCCCGTGTCTCTGCTTCCCTGCACATCTGGTGGCCTCTGCCTCCAATCCCCTCCCCCACCCCTATCTTCCTCTTCTCCCCCACACCAGACACCCCTCTCGGCCCCAGCTTGGTTCAGCTGCCACTCTCTGAGTCCCCAGGACGTCCACCTCCCTCTGCACAGATCATGTCTTGCTGGGATTTCCCAGGTGTGTCTGCACGTCCCCCTGGGCTTTGAGCTCTGTCAGGGCAGGATCCTCTATGCTGCCCCTCTCTCTTTCACCTCCAAGATCCCACGAAGGGCCTGGCTTGGCATGGGGGCCGAGGAAATCTACGTGGAAGAGGGGCTGGAGGACCAGTGTGGCCAGACCCCCTCTCAGCCACTCCCCTCTCCCAGCCGGGGCAGGCCCAGGGATGGCCACTACGTAGGAATCAAAAGGGGAATTTTCACTCTGAGATTAAATATCTAAATAAGGTAGGGCCCAGAAACTGTCCATAATAGCTGGTGGCAGATAAAGTGTGCACTGGGGCCCGCCCTGAATAAGGAGATAGTTGCCCAGGCAACGGAGCCAGGATTTTGCGTTGGCGACGATAAGGGTCAGGTGGTGCGGCGTGGACTGCCCTGTGGAATGCACGTCTCTCCTTCTGAGAACTGCCTCATTTCCCGAGCTCGACTTGTTCACCTTCAGCTGCACATCACCCAGCCCCGCCTACCCCTGCCTGGGACTTGTGTGAATCTGGGCATCAGGGCTGACAGGACGGGAGACCCAGAGTCAGCTGAAACTCAGGACAAATGCCCGAGAGAGAAGGAAGGATAGACCTGAGCCGGTACTGAGCTCGGACGCTGCCAGGGTGGGGACCCAATCACTCCCCAAGTCCCGGGTCCCCCTCCGCCTGCACACCTGGCTGCAAAGCCCTCACCCACCCACGGCTCCTTCTATGGACGCCCAGGGGCCAGACAGGAGCCTCACTCAGCCCCAAGCCCTCAGTCCTGCAGGGCAAGGGACTTTTAAACAACACATAGTTTTCCATAAACGCCTTCTGAGGTCTGGGGTTAACTGTGCCCAAGGCCAGACTGAGACCTTTATAGGAGGGGGTCCCTCCTATTGCAGAGCCACACATAGAAAGTTCCCAGGAGCTTACCTGAGCCATGGTTGGGTCTGGTGGTGCTTTGCTGCTTGTCGACCGGCTTTTATACCAAAGTTGAGTTTTAGTTTCGCTTTCCTTTTAATATCACTTAAAAGCTGCTAAGTACTAAACTTTTTTTTTTTTTTTTTTTTTTTTTAAAGAGACTAAACAGGGGCGCCTGGGTGGCTTAGTCGGTTGAGCGTCCGACTTTCGCTTGGGTCATGATCTCGCGGTTCGTGGGTTCGAGCCCCGCGTCGGGCTCTGTGCTGACTGCCAGCCCAGAGCCTGGAGCCTGTTTCAGAGTCTGTGTCTCCCTCTCTCTCTGACCCTCCCCTGCTCACGCTGTCTCTCTCTCCTAGAAATAAATAATTAAAAAAATATTTAAAAAAATAAATTAAAAAATAAAAAGAGACTAAACATTTCCTCTATAGGGAAAGGCCAGGTATCATACCTCAAAACACGGAAACACTGTGGCTTGTGTTTGAACTTGGGTGCCATCTGCTCGCTGCATGACAGGCCACTACGTTGAGAGGGACAGAGTGCCGGAACAAGGAAAGGGATTTTATTCAAGAGAAACTCAGCTAACCACAAACATGGCAGACGGATGTCCCAATAAACCACCCTCCCGTCTCAGTGCAGGTAGGGGTCTTACAGGAGAGAAGTGAAGAAAGAAACCAGCTTGAAGAAACCAAACACCGGGGCTTGAGCAATCAATCAGAGGTCTTCAATTAATGTGGGCCAGGTTCAAGTTCCCTAAGAAACTTCAAACAGAATTGATTACTAAAAGCTTCTCATGGGTTTAGGGAGTGACAGGCAAGAATGTGCCGATGAGTTTATTTTGTGCAATGTGTTTTGTCTCCATTAAAATCTAAAGGTCAGGGGTGCCCTGGTGGCTCAGTGGGTTAAGCTTCCGACTTCGGCTCAGGTCGCAATCTCCCGGTTGGGGAGTTCGAGCCCCGCGTTGGGCTCTGTGCTGACACCTCAGAGGCTGGAGCCTGCCTCGGATTCTGTGTCTCCCTCTCACTCTGCCCTTCCCCTGCTCACACTCTGTCTCTCTCAAAAATAAATAAACATTAAGAAAATTTTGTTTGTTAAATAAAATGAAAAAAATTCAAAGGTCAGCTAGTTTCTCTTCAGGCTTACAGGACAGTGCCCAAACAGGTGTCATGAGGAGTAACAAGGGAGAGAGAAGGGTTTGAGGCAAAATGAATTCAAGATGGAGTTAGCCTTGCTGTAGCTTCAAAGCTACCTGGAGGCCTTCCACCCTGGTCCGCCATGGCTGCGGCAGCCTCAAGGGGCACATTTTCACCTGGCAGTGTCCAAAAGCGGCAAAGGAAGAGGGTTCTCATCATCACTGGTTTCTTTTTTTCTCCTGGGAGTCAAAGCTTTCCCATAATCCCCTGACAGTCTCGCTCTTACCCCTTCACTCCCCAGAACTGGGTCACGTTTCTACTCGTAAACCAATCGTGGACTTCCTTAGAGCTGAGGCGGGGCTCTTGCTACCCAGTGAACCACAGAGCCCTGTGAACCTGGGGGAAGGCCAGGGTCAGTGTGTGTGCTGGGGGTGGCCATTGGCGAGGCGGAGATGACCACTGGCGAGGCGACGCAGAAGAAGCCCTCACTCACCTCCTTCCCATCCACTGTAACAACAGCTTCATTATAAGGCCACACAGAGGCTGGAGACTGTTCACAATCAGACTGGTTCCTTATAGGATCTGGCGGGAAAAGTGGGGGCAAATGACTCAGTGACCCACAGAGAATGCAGCAGGTTTGCTGATGCCAGCAGAGGCTTATGGGTCAGGGGTCTGGGAAGGGCACCGCCTCTGTCAACATCGTCCCCTGCCCTCTGGTTCTGCTGACCAGACCTTCTGATGGTCCAAGGTCCTTGGAGTTAAGGTTACTTTTCGGTTAAAGGCAATCAGATTTGGCAGCAGATTCAGGAAAAGCTCTTGAACTCTCCCACAAATGCCTCAAAGAATTTAGATGGGAGGCTTGCTCCAGGAAGACAGTCTGTTTGATCAAAGTCCTCTGTGTCTCACCGTCTCTTCCCAATAAATACTTGTTGACCGGACTTTTTTTTTTCATCTTCCCATGAATCGCATTTCTTTGTGAAAGTCCCAGGAAGGCATATATATGTATATACCTCATGGTGCCTGACCGTCTTTGGAATTTCCATGTCTCTGTGGATTCCCTGTGGGTGCGAAATTAAATTCAATTTTTCTCCTGTTAATCTGTCTCATCTCCATTTAATTTCTGGTCCAGCTCAAAGGCTCTTGAAAGGGCAGGGGAAATCCTTCCTCCCTAACAAGTCCTGACCATTCACCTCCCTTCATTGAGGTCACGTTCAAAATGAAAAAAGAAGAAGAAGAAAAAAGTAAGTCGCAAGCAAGTTCTTACCTCTTTTAAGTAGTGTCGCTTTGGACAGTGGCCTCTGTCTCCTGGTCTCAGTTACCTCCTCTTTAAGAGGGAGGGTGTCATCTCAGTCAGGCTAGAGGCTGTGAGTCAGTGGACCTGGAGCCTCAAGAGGGATGGGGACTCTGGTCATTGCTGGCCCAGCTGGAGCCACCTCTGTCACTGGGCTTCAGTTTCTGAGGCCCGTCTTCAGGTTCAAAGTTGTTAGGGAGATTCTGCAGCCCAGATCCGTGCCTCTCCCCGCAGCGGCTCCTCCCTGCTCACCCATCTGGGACTTGCCGCCCGCCAGATCCTTCTTGCCCTTCTCCCTCAAGGCCTCTGCTGTCAGGTTTGATCAGGACCTGAGCAGTTCCTGACACTGACGCGGTCTGACAAATGTTCAGCGAGGTCTGGGATTTATGCTGCATGTTTGCTGCACAGATATTTCTAGGATCTTTTCTCATTCCAGCCAGTAAGAGATCAGAACGTCACCTCCCTTGAGAACCGTTGGAGCGGGGAGGGCAAGGCCCTGGGGCCAGAGGGAGCCAGGCGGTGCTGGCTGTTGAAGTAGGGAGCTTCTGCTTTGGGGAGCAAGTATAAAGGATTCTCTCAGCGTCTAACTCTGAGATGACTAACACGTGCAATACCCAGCACACGGTGCAACCTCGCCTCCTACCTTTATTCAGCAGGAACCCACTGAGCTCCAACTACGTGCCAGGCACTGCGGTAGGCACACAGGGGTCCATCCATGATAAAAAGTCAGCTGATTGGGGCGCCTGGGTGGCTTAGTCGGTTAAGCGTCCGACTTTCGCTTAGGTCATGATCTTGCGGTTCGTGGGTTCGAGTCCTGCGTCGGGCTCTGTGCTGACTGCCAGCTCAGAGCCTGGAGCCTGTTTCAGTCTGTGACTCCCTCTCTCTCTGACCCTCCCCTGCTCACGCTGTCTCTCTCTCTCTCTCTCTCCTAGAAATAAATAAAAAAACATTAAAAAGAAAAGTCAGCTGATACAAATCTATGCCGTTGGGGCTCGTACTTTCTCATTGGAGAGACAGACAAACATGTAGCAAGGGAGGTATTACATTCGATGGCCAAATGCTGAGCAAAATGAAGAAGAGAAGGCGGCTGGGGACGAGGGGGAGGTGCAATCTTAGGTAGTGTGGGCGAGGACAGCCTCCCCGAGCAGGTGACTCTTGAGTAAGAACTCAAGGAGGCAGGAAGCGAGCCCTTTACACACAGAGTGTTCCAGACAGTGGAGCAGCTATTGCAAAGGCCCTGTGGCTGCATATGTCTGCGTGGGTGTCTGGAGCCAGGGAGCAGGTCACAGGAGAGGACAGTCAAGAGGTACCTTGAGCCCTGTTTTGTGGGAGCGGCACTGCCTTCCTAAGGGCGTTGATTGTTTTATTCTGAATGGGTGTGATCCGCTGGAGGGTTGCAGCGCCGCATGGTAGTTTTTAGAGACCGCCTCTGAATCCTGTGTTGAGAAAGGCCGGCGGAGTCCAGGGTAGAAGCAGCGAGAGCAGCTTATAGGCTTCTGGGCAACAGAGCAGCAAGAAGTGCTTGGATTCTTCATGTATTTTGAAGACAGAGTTTGCCAAGGTTGCTGTAGCAAATGCCTTAAATAAGAGAATTTTATCTTCTCATGATTCTGGTAGCTAGAAGTTCAAGATCAAGGTGTCCACAGGGTTGGTTTCTTATGAAGCTTCTCCCCTTGGCTCCTAGATGGCTGCTTTCTCCCCCAGGGTCTTCATAGGGTCTCCCTTCTGTGCGTGTCTATGTCCTAATCTCTCTTTCTTATAAGACACCAGTAGGGTTAGGACCCTTTTTAATTTAATTAAACCACCTTTAATTAATAGGTCCTCTTTTTAAGTTAATAACCCCCTTAAAACCCCATCTCCAAATACATCGTGAAGTGTTAGAGGTCAGGACTTCAACACATGAATTTTGGGGGAGAAACAGAATATTCAACCTATAACATTTGCTTTCTGGCCCTAATATAATCCAGGCATGGCTTCTGCTTTCCCTGTCCCTACCCTGGATTTCATTCTTTTTCCAGGGAGCCTGGTTCTCCACAATGGTATGTAGAAAGCAAAACTGGATCATTTAAGGAATTTTAATTTAATCCTGTATCTTTTTTTTGACATTACTTTTACTGTTTATTCATTAACATTTTTTTTTAATGTTTATTTTTGAGAGAGACCCAGAGACAGAGACAGAGTGTGAGCAGGGGAGGGACAGAGACAGAGGGAGACACAGAATCCAAAGCAGGCTCCAGGCTCTGAGCTGTCAGCACAGAGCCTTACACGGGGCTTGAACTCACGAACTATAAGATCATAACCTGAGCCAAAGTCGGATGCTCAACTGACTGAGCCACCCAGGCGCCCCCAAAAGAAACAGCCATGGAAAGAGTGTCCCTGGGGTGGATTGGATCCCTTCGTTCCCCACTCTGCTCCCTGGCAGTCCACATTCCTCCTTGATGTTGGGCTGGGACATGTGATCCGCTTTGGCCAATGGGAGTAAAGGAGCACACATGTCATTTCCCACATCTGAGCAGTTTTATAGGAAAGCGCACGGTTAGCTTCTTTAGCTCCTGTGCCCTTTGTCAAGAGGAAGATCGGTCCCAGCTAGAGGCCGCCCCTTCAGCTGAGGTACCAGAATGAAACC